GCTCGATTTAGCAGAGCATTTGATCTATGAAATAAATTTAAATTAAAAAATATTTTTATATAACATATATCTCTATAAAGCTTTACAACCAGTTTAACCGCATAAGTTTCTTTTTATATTTATGAAAAATCATTTTTTAATTTCAAAGAGTAATAATTTAATATTTCTAACTTTTGGATGACGTATGGAAAGGTTGAATATATGAAGAGTGATGGTCTATATATGAATGGATGACGTATGGAGGGTGAAAAATATGAAGAGTAATGGCGAACGGAAAAATAAAAGTGTCCAGGAGCGGGAATCGAACCCACAACCTTCTGCTTACCGGGCAGGTGCCATGTCCACTAGGCTATCCTGGACGTATTTCTCCGTTCGTAACTAATATTTAAACTGACTAATAATACTTATAAATGACTGCGGCGTATAATTATAAAGCTATACAACCAGTTTAACCGCATAAGTTTCTTTTTATTTATGAAAAATCATTTTTTAATTTCAAAGAGAAATAATTTAATATTTCTAACTTTTGGATGACGTATGAAAAGGTTGAATATATGAAGAGTGATGGTCTATATATGAATGGATGACGTATGGAGGGTGAAAAATATGAAGAGTAATGGCGAACGGAAAAATAAAAGTGTCCAGGAGCGGGAATCGAACCCACAACCTTCAGCTTACCGGGCAGGTGCCATGTCCACTAGGCTATCCTGGACGTATTTCTAGTACTAGTAGCCTAGTGGACATGGCACCTGCCCGGTAAGCAGAAGGTTGTGGGTTCGATTCCCGCTCCTGGACACTTTTATTTTTCCGTTCGCCATTACTCTTCATATTTTTCACCCTCCATACGTCATCCATTCATATATGACCATCACTCTTCATATATTCAACCTTTTCATACGTCATCCAAAAGTTAGAAATATTAAATTATTTCTCTTTGAAATTAAAAAATGATTTTTCATAAATAAAAAGAAACTTATGCGGTTAAACTGGTTGTATAGCTTTATAATTATACGCCGCAGTCATTTATAAGTATTATTAGTCAGTTTAAATATTAGTTACGAACGGAGAAATACGTCCAGGATAGCCTAGTGGACATGGCACCTGCCCGGTAAGCAGAAGGTTGTGGGTTCGATTCCCGCTCCTGGACACTTTTATTTTTCCGTTCGCCATTACTCTTCATATTTTCACCCTCCATACGTCATCCATTCATATATAGACCATCACTCTTCATATTCAACCTTTTCATACGTCATCCAAAAGTTAGAAATATTAAATTATTTCTCTTTGAAATTAAAAAATGATTTTTCATAAATAAAAAGAAACTTATGCGGTAAACTGGTTGTATAGCTTTATAATTATACGCCGCAGTCATTTATAAATATATATCTCTATATATATAAAAGTCAATGTCTGTTTCGCGATAAACTCAAAAACTACTGAACCAATTGGTACCAAATTTTGCATGTCGCTTTTTATAAACCTGAGGAAAATATTCGGCTACATTTTGATTAGTATTTTTGGCTATTTATTTTTTTCATTTGAAGAACTTTTTTTTTACGCGGAGTAATCCGGAATGGAATGAATACCCAAATATGGCCATTTTTTATACGCATCGGTGGTTCAGTGGTAGAATGCTCGCCTGCCACGCGGGCGGCCCGGGTTCGATTCCCGGCCGATGCATTTTTTTTTTTCAATTTTTAAAACTCATTTATATTATATACTAGACGTATGACCAGGCTTCGCCGGAATTCCCCCGATTGCAATTTCCTTCATACTGAAAGTACATCAATAATTAATATTAGAAGTGCCATAGAATAGCAATACAGAAGTAACACATAAACTACAGGAAAAAAGTGTGTGTGATGGCAAAAATTGTATTATATTAGTGTTTAGGTATTTGATTTAATTAATATAGTTGATATTATAATATATGAAAATAGTACAAATGTAATATTGTACTGGGATAAGGTGCATAAATTAAGAAAAAGGCATCTACTTATCGTGCAACTGAAAGTTGCTGATGGCTTGCGCCATCTATCTTATCCCAGTACAATATTACATTTGTACTATTTTTTCACATTTTGTAGCGTTCTCACGCAATTCTGGCCTTAACTACCCGTTTCATGATTTTTCAGGATGCCTTAATGACCAATTTTTTGGTCGTTGAGGTACAGCTTGCACCACGCTGATGAGGGCCAACAGCCCGAAACGCGTCCGTGTTTAGCTTTTCTTGATTAATCAAGAATGGGTATTTGCCCAATTCTGGAATAATTAAAAATCAACGAGAATAGTTGATATTCATTCCGATAGATGGCGCAAGTCATCAGCAACTTTCAGTTGCACGATAAGTAGATGCCTTTTTCTTAATTTATGCACTTATCCCAGTACAATATTACATTTGTACTATTTTTCATATTTTGTAGCGTTCTCACGCAATTCTGGCCTTAACTACCCGTTTCATGATTTTTCAGGATGCCTTAATGACCAATTTTTTGGTCGTTGAGGTACAGCTTGCACCACGCTGATGAGGGCCAACAGCCCGAAACGCGTCCGTGTTTAGCTTTTCTTGATTAATCAAGAATGGGTATTTGCCCAATTCTGGAATAATTAAAAATCAACGAGAATAGTTGATATTTATTCCGATAGATGGCGCAAGCCATCATCAACTTTCAGTTGCACGATAAGTAGATGCCTTTCTCTTAATTATAATATATATTTATACTAGCGGACGTACCCGGCTTCGCCCGAGGTTTTACCCGAGTAAAGGTTTGTCTAGCTAACATTTGTTAAAACAATTCTCTAAAAACTTATAAAAATAAAAAAAGATATATTTTGATAATTTGAAACTCGTAAATTTGAATCTCTCGATAAAGTGAACATTTTTTCCCTGTGTGCCGTGTCATCCTGAATTTTGTCTTTCCTAATTTTCTACATTAGAAAATCATAGTTTTATCTAGTGAACATTTTTTCCCGTGTCACATTGCCGTGTCATCCTGAGATAATCTTACTTTTGATAAATAATATTTAAGATAACAAACTTATATAGTGATAAGAAAACTTGTTATCATCGTCACAATGGGGGCGCTGCTTGCGAGTTAAATCTACAAATTTGCAAATAACTCTATGGATATTCAAGATATTCAGGAAATTATTTTTCAAAAACCTTTCCGGTGATATACCTAATAATATCCCAAAATTTCACGGCGATTGGATGTATGGTTTTTGAATCTATAGAGTACAGACAAACAGACATTCAATCTATATATATAAAAATGATGTATGTGTGTGTGTGTGTGTGTGTGTGTGGTCTGTTTGTCCTTTATGCCTGACCAAACCACTCATTGGAACGCCATGAAACTTTGGGAAGTTATTTAGTATAGTACTGGGAAGGTTTCTAGCAAATAAAATTTTTGAAATAACTTTTCGCTTTAAAATAATCAAGATAAATATTCTAATTTATCTGTTATAATTCAACAATCTGCTCTAAATATTATCATGATGATGCGATGATTTTGTAATGTAGAAAATTAGGAAAGACAAAATTCAGGATGACACGGCAATTTATTTGAGACAAGAATAATGATACAATTCCAAGGCAAGATACTATTCCTTTAACTACTAATTACCGAGGGAACCAATTAATATTGATTTTATTCAACTTATCGAGTATTTTTCAAGGGACCGGGAAAAAATGTTCACTTTATTGAGAGATCGTTAGACAAACCTTTACTCGGGTAAAACCCGGGCGAAGCCGGGTACGTCCATACAAGAATAATGATACAATTCCAAGGCAAGATATTATTCCTTTAACTTCCAATTACCGAGGGAACCAATTAATATTGATTTTATTCAACTTATCGAGTATTTTTCAAGGCACCGGGAAAAATGTTCACTTTATCGAGAGATTCGTTAGACAAACCTTTACTCGGGTAAAACCCGGGCGAAGCCGGGTACGTCCGCTAGTTTTATATATATAGATAAATGAGTTTTAAAATTGTAAAAAAAAATGCATCGGCCGGGAATCGAACCCGGGCCGCCCGCGTGGCAGGCGAGCATTCTACCACTGAACCATCGATTTTATAAAAAAATGGCCATATTTGGGTATTCATTCCATTCCGGATTACTCCGCGTAAAAAAAAAAAGTTTTCAAATGAAAAAAAGAAACAGCCATCGGGGGAATTCTCGGGCGAAGCCGGGTCATACGTCTAGTGTAGTAATATATTTCAATGTACATTATATTTTCATATATAACATAATTATAAAAAGTGCAACAGCCCCAAAATGTAGGTACAATTTAACTCGCCAGCTTGTCCATCATGTTATAACAAATAATATAATAAATTTTTATTGATAGAGGGCCGCACCCAAGTCAAGGCAGAATCCGTTGAATCGCGAATTTTGTCAAAAATTATTCATTTCCCTTCTAGAAAACTTCAAAGAAGTTTTACGACCGCCATTGGACACCGAGACAAACAAGCGGATATCAACAGATCATCTCTTCCTCTCATGTAGATCTCCAGGACCTTATCCGCGTCTTTGGCTTCTCTCTGAGGTGACATCCAACCTGCCTTGTCCTTTGTATTTCCTTCTGATCCCTGATACCACTTGTCCCCATGACTGCAAATGCTTGTTGTACGACTCCTATCAGCCGTTAGTATCAACCCGCCTACCACATCAATATAGTTCCAAAATATAACTTTATTAGGTGCCGTTCAAAAAGAGGCCTAGATTATATTATTCACTAATTAAAAGACTTTTTTGCGCAACTGAGACTTCTATGAGTGTTCTTTCCAGAAAATCATTCATAGCGCTGGAATACTGATTATCCTTTAACTTGTAATCTATGTAATAGCAGAACTTAATATAAAATCATCCATATAATATTAGGTTGCTTTTATTTGGAGAATCAGAGAAAGGAACTCCAGGGCGATTTATCCTTATCTCATTCCTATAGTCAACAAATATATAACTGGATGAATACAATTATGTTTGGTCTCTCTCAAGGTCTTTTTTAATTCAGTAAATCAAATTCACAAAATATTGAGTATAAAATTAAAGTGAATTATTATATGAAACTATTAAAATTATCCAGACAAGACTTAATATTAAAAAAAAGTCAGTGGCCTGCGGTATAGACCGTCGATTTCTGAGAGCCATGAACCGGGAACGAATCCCGCATTGGACACTTTATTTTTTAAATATATGAAGTATATGTTCATATAATTCATTGTAACTAACATAAGTTAGAGTGCTCTTTTTGAGCGGTACCTTTTAAAGTTAATTTGTGGAACAGGAGAGATTCAATATCAAATAATAAAATCATTATCCCGTTCTAGAAATATGTCTGGACGAGTGGGTAACACCCTCGATTCCCAACAGTCATGAACTGGGATTTAATCCCATGTTAACATTTTGTTTAATATGTGAATAACCTTCACATATATTCCTTATTGTAAATATCATAAACTAGGCAGCTCTTGTTGAGCGGTACCAGATAAAGTGATTGTGGAACAGAAAGAGGTCTAGAACGACAGCCAATTCAAAGCCTTATTAAAGTTATAAAGATAAAGTGAGTTTATTAGACTATATGTAATGTGCGAGTCACACTAATAGATTTTAACCTAACCTAATCTAAATTAATGTTAAAACGTATCGAACAATATGTATATAAAATATTTACTACTCTCCTGCTGGATAAAAATTTGTTTATAAATATTTAAAATTTTCAAGGCGATTGATAAAATGAGGGAAGAAGTGCTCAACTCCACAGACAACGGCAGATTGCTCCCCCTCCCC